GTAAAATGAGATTGTAAATCAATCCATTGTGAAGAGGAAGTGATGCAGTTGAATCTGTAGTAAGTTTCTTCGATAAGAACTGTTTCCAATATTGATATACCGAAGACATAGCCCTAAACATAGAAAGGAGGAAAAGCACTCACTTGTGCTCATGCGATTGGTTTTGAGTGAGAATTGTATCCGTAGAGCATTCAAAACTTTGAAGTAGCAGTGTAGCAGCTTTTCCAGTAGTACCAACTTTAGGCATATTTGGATTTTAAAGCTCTTGTATGCCACATTCCGAACGCATTTCGTAATGCTACTCATGAGTAAGAAACGAGGAATCGTAGTGCTATTCTTGTGTGAGAAATGAGGAATGGGTTAAGCTAAGAGAACAGGTTTCGGGGGTTTTATTCAGGGTTTTTGGAAGAATAATTCTAGGTGTACACATATCATTATACTTCTTAACATGGTGTATTGTGTGTGGACCTCCTCCTCCATGTGAAGGGAGCGTAAGGCCGTGTAAACGATTACGTACACATAGTATTGCCCTTTTTGGAAACTCTTCGCCAGAGATTTTCTAGATTTCGTAGTCGGGGCTTGCTTTCGTCCGGCATGCCCCCCACCTATAGGAGGCGCCACGTCCAAGGCCACAACAAAGGGCTTTCCCCTTCCTAGCTGGGGATTTTTTTATGTTTGGTAAGAAGGAAGAAGGAATGATAGCGAACGAGTTAATTTCACCTATGGTAACTGAAGTTTGTAACAAATTTTAAAATGGTTATTAAAGTAATTTAACAGTTTCCCAAATGATCACTATGTTGTCATAATCTCCGTTAAGTACTAACTAAAATTGCAATTTTGACAAAACGTCTTTAGAGAACAAAGATTACGCCTTTCATACGAGAAAAATGATGTGATTTGTCCACATTGGCACTTAACACATTATTGTCTCTTACAGTTTGATCATCATTTTGAAATTGTTTACAAAATTTATGATCATAAGTGAATTAACTTGGCAATGAACAAATTGAATACTCTCTATATTCGTGATATAATATCCAATAAAGTTTAGAACATACTTAATATGTTAAAAATATAAAAACCCTAATGTTTTGTCGAGAGGAGGAACATGGGTGAATTATATCACCTTCATCATCTATACACAAGTTTGTTAACTTAAAATTCTTTATACAATTGCAATCATGAGGTAATGATAAAAGTGGCTCGAACAACGTTATATTATGATTTTACATTTATACACATGTAACATCTTATCTATTATGTACGATATAGTCCGTTTTTGGGCAATGCCCAAACGATTGTACTCTTTAACTTTCACACAAAAGCTTCATGCAAATTGACAGTGGTCATTTCACTTATAAATTAATCTCATTTTCCTTTTCTATGCTATGTGAGATCGAGTCTACCACAATTACTGATATTGTCAAGCCCAAGAATTTTAAGCGTGCTCGTAGGCTTTAAGTTAGTCATTCGATGAATTGCACTGATTGTCATTGTACAATCTAGTAATCCCTAACTTTATTTTATAGATAGTTAAATTGTATTTTTATAAATATTCTAAATGGTCACTGGATTAAAAATCATAGTCTTGGACAGATGGAGGACCCAAATGAAAATGAAATTTACAAATGCTTGCCAATATGTCAATATCACAGCATGCTGGGCTTTTGTAATTCACGGCTGCCGTCTCTGTCAAAAATTATCACTTTATAATATCATTTCTCAAAAATATCTGGAGCATGTAATTGAGACAACAAACCAACTACACGAAATTATACGCAAATAATCAACATCTACGGTAAAAATCGCATCTAAAGCAGAGGAAACGAAAAATACAAAAATAAGTCAGAAGGTGGAAAAAAAAATTAAACGTGATTCAATAAATCATCGACAATTGCATTTGTAGAAGACTTTTATTAGCTAAGAAAGTTAAAAAAATAAAAAAATACAATATTGTCCTTGTTCTCTTAACTTCTCCCTACACATGGTACCTTATTTTCTTAATTTCTCTCTCCAAATCTCTCCAAAACTCTACATAGTTGTACATTTTGTGGGGTTTCCACAGTTATAGGTGACGCAACAGTTTTTACTTCTTCTTTGATTGATGAGAAAGTTACTAAACTTTGACATATGCGACTTGGGCATATGAGTGAGAATGTCATGGAAGAATTGAGCAGAAGGGGTTTCTTGATGGGCAGAAGACCAGCAAATTGAAGTTTTGTGAGTATTGTGTCTTTGGAAAACAGAAGAGAGTCGGATTTACTATAGGTAGATTAAACATGAAGGGAACACTTGAGTACATCCATTCAGATCTCTAGGGGCTAGCCAATGTACTTTTAAGAGGAGATGTCTATTACTTATTATAGTAATTGATGATTTTTTCAGAAAAGTTTGTGTATTCTTGAAACAGAAGAGTGGCGTGTTTGGGAATTTCAAGGAATGGAAAACAATAATAGAAAAGCAGACTGGAAAGCATATCAAACGTCTACCCATAGATAATGGGTTGAAGTTTTGTTCAGATAAATTCAATAGCTTCTGCAAGGCTGAAGACATTTTGAGACACTTGTCAATGCATGGAATTCCTCAACAAAATGGTGTGATGGAATAGATGAATAGAACTTTAGTGGAAAATGTTCGGTGTAGACTTTCAAGCTCTGGGTTGCCTAAGAGTTTTTAGACTGAAGCTGCTGTCACAACTTGTTTTCTGATCAACCGATCACCCTCAACTACTATTGTGAAACAGTCACCAAAAGAGGCATGGTCTCATAAGCCTTCATATTATACTGATTTGAAGATTTGTAGATGTCTCGCTTATACTCATGTGGATAATGGGAAATTGAAGCCTAGGTCTAGAAAGTGTGACTTTCTTGGGTACAAATCAGGTGTGAAATGATATAAATTGTGGTGTCCAGAGACAATAAAGGTGGTGATTAGTAGAGATGTAGTATTTGATGAACTTGCTATGGTTCATGATTCACCTCGTGGGAATTATGATAAAATAGAGAAACAGAACCATTTAACTCATGTGGAGTTGGAAATTGGTCCAGAGGAACAATCATAAGTTAAAGAACAGTCTACTTCAGAACAGTCCAGCTTAGAATCGACTGACAATAATACTTCGCCTACACAACCAGCAGCACCATAGTATTCTATTTCCAAGGATAGACCTTGCATGCAAATTAAACATTCACAGAAGTAGTGAAACTACCAAAGGTAAGAGGGTTGTTTGCTGCAAATGGGTGTTCAAAGGGAAAGAAAGAACATCAGGGACTGAAGATGCTAGGTAGTAAGGTCAGACTCATAATAAAATGCTACAATCAGATTCCAAGTATTGATTTCACAAATGTGTTCTCGTCGATTGTAAAGCAGAGAGAGAGAGAGATAGTGTTGCATTGGGTTCTTCTTGCATTCAGGAAAAGTGAGGCATATTTTTATGTTAAAGTTATCCTTGGAACTAAGGAAATTTGGCACCTCAGAACTTGTAATCGTTCTCATGCTAATTTCAAAGTTTGAAGCGTGAGCTTCTTATACCAGTTGTTGGGAAAAAAAATCCCACCTAGTTCAGTTATTTTCTTAATTTTCCTATAACAATTTGCTCTCCAAAAGTGCACTTAACTCTACCTGAATCTCTGTAACAGTTTTCTCTCCAAAACTCAAATAACTATCTTGGTCCATTTTCTTTAAAAAAAAAAAAATAATTATTTTACCTTATTGCAAACATTCAAAAATGATCAGCTATGAAGATTTTCTATTTCAAATTCTATCACATAAGAAGAAACCAATAATACTCATTCACGGTAGTAAAGAAGGAAGCAAAGAAGGTAAACTGTTAGAAGATTGTTCAACAATCAATAAAACGTGCATGGAATGAAAAATAAAACCGGAGGCCAAAGATGTAAACTATGCGACCACATAGAACAAAATTATGGCCGTTGTTATTTGAATTCTGGTGGTTTTTCATTTGATTTTTGCACGAAATCATGGAGACTAGTTGAAGCCTATATATGTGGTTAAGGTTCATTATTACATATATGAAAAATCAATTTCGTGATTATAATTTTCATTCCTCAAAATCAAAACGCTTTTTAAAATCATATTCATCCTTTGTGTTTTCAAGTTTTGGGATCTAACTTAAGTGCTTGAGTGATTAATCCTGCAAATCATTTGCCTATAATTCCTTAAAAGCACCAAATTTCCATCCGAGAGGAGACAAATATTGTTTGAAAACAACGATCACGTGTTCGAGCTTTCGTCTTGACATCTTGTTCCTGATTTTTATTCTTTGTTTCTTGCAAAAATATATTTCTCTCCTTGCAAAAATATATTTTCCAACATAAAACAACAATCCAGCATCTACAAATATACTCCTCCCTCCTCTTGCAGCCAAGCAAGCTGACCCATACTGTTCCAGCACAGAATCTTCTCTGGATAGCTGCCTATGAGAGCAAATCAATACATCCTTCATTAACATATTGATATAAATTGGTCCAAGCACTGCAGCTGGGTTCATTGAATTAGGCCTGAAAACTTCTTTGCCTAATGATTTAGTATAAGATCTCTAGCTATCATGCAAAAGAAAAAAGGAAATGAAGGGAAGAGAAAGGGGAAAATGTGGCGTACTTCTACCTTTGGAACGAAAATATGTAGCGATATTTAAAATGTGGTATAACTAATTAAGACTAGCAAGAGAGCACAAAATAGCATCAACAAGCATAATTAGTTTATTGTGAATGCTCGAAGAAAACATCATGATATAAATATATGTTCGTGTTTCCCAAAAAAGACACAAGCTTTTCAGATTTGCAAGTTACGTGAGAAATGGGAGTAAGTTCATGAAGAGAATCTAACCATATAAACGAAATTGTAGAGGAAACAATGTGAAAAAAGAAATATTCATAAGAATATATATATATATATAGCAATACGAAACTATAATACACCAACATTATTGCTGGTAACACCTTCAAAACCAGTGCCAGAGCAGCTGCAGTACAAAATACTAGCTCATAGCAAGAATTATTATTGAAGAAGGAAAAATATAATTTTTTTCCCAAGAGGAAGAACAGTTACAGTGTTAAATTATGAATACAATTGTTCTGTTTATCAAACAGAAACAGAGGCCAAAGAAACAAGTGTAGCTTTGAAACACAATGGGATAGAGGGAAGAGTAACCTTCCACCTTATCAAACAAAGAGCCAAATGAACAAACAATCAAAAGAATGGAACAAATTGCATAAGTTAATACATTTGTGTTCTTTATATTTATATTTACGGGGTAAGAAGCTGAAACACTACTATGACTTCTTCAGCTCTCCCAATTCCAACACTTATACGATTGACTTTTAATAAGTTCATGCCCCCACAAAGCTCATCGGTATCTTTATCCTCTTGTTTTTATCGTTGGCATAACATTAATCTTTCACTGGTGCATCATCGTCATCCTCAATATCCCAACTCAAATCTTCATCTTCTTCTGCAATGCTCAACCGATTCCTCAACTCAGCTCTGTTCGGGCTCCCACCATGAGTAGTACTAATTTTCTTTTCATCATGGCTCTCAATATTTTCGATCTCATCCCATTCCAAATCCTCCACTGCAACAGATTGATGACTTGATACCGCATTTTCTTTACCAGCACCATTCTTTTCACCCTTCGCCTCCTCATCAGCCTTCTCATTTGACTTCACTTTCTCATCATTATTCTCTTCAGCTATTTTTTCAGACTCCACTTTCTCATCATTCATCTCTTCAGCTATTTGTTCAGACTCCACTTTCTCATCATCTTTAGCTTCAATTATTTCTTGAGAATTTGCCTTCTCATCAGACGAAACATTGTCACTGCTCTTCTTGCTCAAGTCAAATGCATTATTCTTGTCAACATTATCCACAATTGAATGATCTCCATCATCCTTATTTTGCAACTCATTGCTTGGATCCTCTTGTTTCTCAACACGGCTCAAATTCTTATCATTAGAATTGTCATTTCTCGAATCATCTTTATGTTCTGCCTTTGCATTACCCTTTTGTTCCCATCCATTATCCTCCTCCTCATCGTCTACATCCCAAGATAATTCCTCATCATCGTCAACAGAAATTGCCCGCTTAACAAGATTAGCCCGTACGCTCTCTTGCTGCTTGAGCCTATGCACTTTATAGAAGTACCTACACCAAAATGTCTCGTGATCAACTGTACTAGGAACAAGCCTTTTGTAAAGGCTCTCCAAAACCCCAGTTTCTCCAATTAGCCCCTCAACGTCATTGCTCTTCTCCATTAATGTAAACACCGATTTCCACTTTCGATACTCCTCCAAATCCTCTGGATCTTTGCTGAAAGTGTTCACATCAGACTGGATTGCATTCAATTGGGCATCAAACCGGCTGTACCGACCCAAACTCAAGCTCTTACTAATGTCAGGCGTTTCAGACTCCCCATCCGAGCCTGAAAGAAGGCTCTCTTTCCCTTGGGAAATTATTTCAGCAGTTGATTTGAGCACCCCATCAAGTGCCTGTCCGACAGATTCCAGTGAACCATGAGCAGCCGACGCACCGGCCTCGAGCGAAGCCGGAAGGTCCTTCACGGCTCGGTTGGCGACTTCTCGGATGATCTCCGACTCCTTCCTGAGACCCAATCCGAATTCCTTAAGATCCCGCCTGTACGTCTCCAGCACCGACTCAGATTGGGTCGCAAAAGTCTTGATCAGACCCCCAAAACTCCATCCTCCGCCACTAATTCTACCACCACTTGATGAATCAAAATTCGGGCTTTTGGGTGGCGGTGAAATGTAATCCGGGTCCTGTCCAACATCATCCGGATCCTGATTCCTTTTCAGTGGGGATTCTGATTCGGAATCCGGGTTACAGGGGTTGTCGGGTGTTGGAGGATCTGAATCCTCTGACAGAATGGAATTGAAGAAATTCATAGTGTGAGTAAATGAATTCAAGGATCGAGTATTAGGGTTTGTAGTTATGGAATGAATCTACCGTACAGAATAAGAACAAACGATGATTGCTGTAACAAGCTAATAGATTTGCGTGCGCCCTAGGTGTATTGCGCACGTTACGTTTGGTGGGCCACTTTGTGCTCTGGGCCCAAACTCCTCATTGGGCTCATAAAATTGATAATTTGGTTATAGGAAATATCTTGTAAATAGCACAAAAAAGTCTAATAATAAGATCACACAATCTTCTTTATTTATATTTTTTGTGATGCTGCTTTTCGATCACATTGCGGAGAAACCCTTAGATTTTCAGAGGCGATGGATTCTACATAATTAAACTAATATATTTACAAAATAAATTATATAAATCAGAAAAAGGCATCAGCGAAAAAAATAAATATAAATTCAATATGATAACGCTTATAATCAGTAATAATATACAGTAAATTTGAGTTTTTTGAAGACAATAAATAAAAAAATATTGACAAATGATCAGAGGGTCATGAATTATCTGATTGCCAAAATCAAAACTTGAAATAAGACTCCACACTTTTGCCACTGGGAAGAAATTCAAATCTATTCTTACCCTCCATTTTCTTTCTCAAAATAAAACCTTTTGCTATCTCTGTTTCGTAGTGAAAAATAAATATTGAAAATTCGTAAGATTTTTCCCTTTTGTTAAATTTTTCATTTTTTTTAACATCTTTTCTAAATGGAATTGTATATGAGCTTTCTGTCCTCCTAATATGTCCCTCTATATCTTCCACGTCTTTCAATTTCCAAGTCCCTAGTATGCATGTTCGACTGTGCTTAAAAGATAGAAAGAAACATCGTCTTTTCATAAGGTGAATAATAGCCAAGAAGTGGCTTCTTTTGACTATTATTAAGCAAAGCCAAACATGCCATTGATTATTGTCATTCTTCAAAGGAATGTTTCGATGGACGATAAAGATCATAAGGAGCCCACAAATGATCAACATTGCAAGGTTTTCTCGAGTCAAGCCTCAACCATGGCTTCCCTTTGCCACTCCAATGGAGTAGGCTTATCGGACCGGGATGCAAACTTCTACATTTCCCTTCAATGTTGTCTCCCCCCAATCCATGCTGATTCCATCTATGATGAACTGGCTCTATATTACCAGCAAGAACGAGCAAGAATGATGGCAATGAACCTAACTGATATATCCTTTTGTTCTTTTGCACAACCATCCAATACTCAACTTTTTGAATATATTTCCCCCGTCTCCACTTATTCATATCCACGACCATTACTCCGGTATTGAAATAGCATGGTTTACGTCCTTCAAACGTTCTTGATAAGACAGGGTCGTACCAAAAGGCATCGGTGAAATAATTAGTAAAATTTGCATGACAATACTCTGGTGCAGCCAATACTTTGTCATTCAAATCAACACCCCATAGTTTCACAATATCATCCACCATAACAAGATCGGAATCAAGATAAATCAAGCGCTTAATATCGACCGGCAATATGTCTGCTAGATAAATTCTTGCATAGTTCAAAGGTTGATCTAAAGCTTGGCGAATCGACTTCGATATTAAACCTAGCACCCTTCTCGAATCAAATCGATACACGTTGAAATTGAGATAAGGGAAAGTGGATTTGATACTTGAAAAGACCTCTGGTTCATTTCTCACATAAAGAAAGTGGAACACAACATTTTCAGGGCAAGTAGAATGTTGCAAGATTGACAAAACAGCAGCCATTGTGCCTCTTAAATAACTTGCATCGAGTGTCATTGCAACATGAATGCGGTCTATGGAGGGGGATCCACATGTCTCACCATTTCGAAAAGCTGGGGCCTCGCGGAAGACTGGGACATTGACTGTGATGGTGGATGGCTTTCGAAAGCGGAGGTTGGTGGTGGTGATGAGGGCTGCGTTTGAGGGCGGCGGAAGGGTGGTGGTAAGGAAGAGAGACAGGAGGCCAAGCAATGGAACAGAAGGAAAGCTCCAAAAGAAGGCCATCCTGGCTCAGTGAAATTATTGACAATGAGAAAAATAAGGGAAAAAACATGAAGCAACCATTGGAGGTGGAGGAGAGGTTGAAAATTATTGGACAGAGATTAGGAAAATTGGGGGGAAGAGAAAAAAACTCGGACCACTTCCTTATTAGGGAACAGAAAAGAACATCGTGCATCAATACAAATATTCTTAAATATTCACAAATAGAAAATTATAAATGTTAAGGAAGTTTTGTCCATTTCATGATTAGTGTCTTTTTTGTGACAGAAATTGTCTCCCTGGATTTATGACTTGCCTCCTTCTCTCAATGAATTTTCTCCCATTTTCATGCGTATTTACTATTTACTTTGTTCAAAGAAATTTAGCCCCATTTAATGCACATTAAAAAGAGATTTTTTTTTCGGAAAAAATGAATTTTGGAATGGAGATTCACAACTTTTACTAATTTTTAAATAATACATTACATCAACTTTTATCAAAACTTACTAAAAATATAATTTATAAATATAACAACTAGGGAATATGTCTATGTCAAAGAATAAATTTTAATACATTACTTATTTGTTGAGGTCACTTGAAAATAGTAATCAATATGTGAGAGTATTATGTTCACATGAAATAAAATACAAGAAATTCTATAACATAAAAAATTATGAAGTAAAAATGTAGACATTTTAGGGGTACTCTCAATTGAAATTGTGATGGATTTTAAAAGTTATTCCAACTTGAAATTTTATTGGATTTTAATGAAATTTATTAAAATTTAAATGTTTCCGATTGAAATTTTATTGAAGTCCTTTAAAATTATGCATCCTCGATGTCCATGTCGGTCCTAATATCCATTACTTTGTCCCGGTTATGTGTAATTAAAAATCAGATTTCAAATAAATTTTAATAAAAGTTGATAAAATGTGGGATTGAAAAATTCATAAAATTTGTGAATCCCATAAACGTGTTGTTAAAATTAAATATGGACCTTGACTTAAATTTTTATCAAAATTTTAAACTATACCAAACAAGGACTTTATTTTAAGCTCTAACTTTTGTATGTTATCATGTTATATTTGATTATTTTTAGTGTAAAATTGAAAAGGGGTAACTTGACTAGCTAGCTTTGCTAAACGAGCATTGAGTCACACCAACTCGTGAGTCACAACATCTCTATATGTTGTAATTGATCATTTATATGGATAATTTAACGAAGCTTTTAATAAAAAAATTTAGTAAATTGCAATAAAACTTGATGAAATAAACTTGTGTATGTAAAATGATAAATTGCAGGTTTCATAAAATGCGTGGTTAGAATTAATCATTAACTTTAACATCAACTTTTAAACATTTTCAAACAAACAAATGTATTGTGAAAAAAATCACGCATTTAACGTGTATGGTAATTAATGAAATAAATAGAAAAATGATTCATGCATTTGATCTAAAATTTATTGGTTTTGTTGAGTTTATCGATTTTATTGTATGTAGAAAGAAAAAAGAAAAAGCATGCCATATAAATAGTTAAAAATCATTTGTTATAGAAAAATAATTGTTGTACATTATCATTCACATATTTTTTTTACAGATTCAAGTGTGACGATAAATTGAATCAAAATTGTCAGAGTCTTTTCATTACTTAAATCTTTATACTTATGTAATGCGAGTTAATCACAAAAAGAAAAGTGGAGATTGTTATTATTATTATTATTATTATTATTTAAATTTTTGGGCTTGTCTGAATTAAAAATTTAGCTACAATATTTATTGATAAATAAATTTGCAAATTGTGTGGTAAATTAGTACATGTAGCCCTACCGTGATTGAACCCCGCTTCCGCCCTACCGCCCTCAGTCACTCCAACGCCCACGCACTTCTAAAACCCTACCATTCCACTTTCGGTTCTCTTCCCAATTCTTTCTGATTTCTTTCGTGTGATTCCTCCATACTTAGGTACTTATTCTCTTACTCAATGAACTCATATCGTATTTCAAATTTGCTATTGGCTTCTTAAACTACGTGGATTTTCAACAAAGTAAAACAACAAATCGTTTGTTGGAAATGGAAGCATATCACGGATATTGGGAATTGCCTTTTTTTTTTGGTAGTGGAAGGGAAGCCTGTTGATTTGAACAAAGGAACTTACGCCGGTACCAGAAACCAAACAAGAGATGGGTGAATGAATACGCCGTTTACTGTATAAATTTCATCCAATATCTGTTGTTAGCTTGATAATTTTTCTGAAGAAACGAATTGGAAAAATAGTATTTCTAGGATTTAAGAAAATTTTGCTAATTCAAGTCGGTTATGGTCCTATGTAGTTTCTGGAACAAAATTCGAAGAACAAAAAAGAAAGTGTAGTATGCCGTTGTTTGATGATTGTGACTCCGTGTTTTTAAATCTGTTATCCCTGATTCCTCAATGCCTTCGGCATTTTACATACTGCGTTAGAGATTGAAACATTTCCATATGAATGTGGTTGTTTATTGATATTTACTTGTGAATATAGAATCTTTGAATTTACTGTCACATTTTTATTTATCATTATTTTCTTGTTTGCTACTTATAGGATTATCAATCATAAACAGAATGAAGGGAGTGCCTATTATACACATCTTTACTGAGCTTTTAGGAGGATGCATTTTTTTCCCCTTTGAATGTTGATTGGGATTAGTCCTTTGTCATTTCCTTTGCATTCTTCTGATTTTTTTATTTTTTTTCTTCACAAAACTGGTAAATATGGACTGAGAAAGAGTTTCAAACATTTTGGTCCTTGCTCTCTGGACCATGTGCCTTCCGACCATGGGCACCCTCATCACCTCCACTTATCTGTTGTATAGATCTCTATATTTATAATTTTAACATTTATTAATTACTTATTCTCCCACTTTCCAGTTTATGTGGCACAAGTAGAAAATGATCTTAAAAGCATGTTAGCAAAGAAAACATTAGTTAGAAAGCATCAAAGCTTGGTATGCTTGAAGAATTGCGCTTTCAGTGCAGCTATTCCTGCTAATAATTGAAGTAATGGTGGGAGAGGAAAAGGGGCTTGGGTTCCTCTGAAGTAAAAATTGTCCAATTCATAGACCATAGTTGTGATCTTATTGGAGTTTATTGATTCAAATACTCTCTTTTCCCACACAAACAGTGAGCAATGAAAGGCATGCAATTGTCATTGAACAAAACCCAGAAGCTGAGACTAGAAAAAGCATTAGAGCAGTTGGAATCTCTTTCTTCAAAATCCAACTCTGATGCCTCTGTTACCGTCGCTGACAACATTTCTGTCGACTGTGAAGACGCCATTCTTAAGTACGCTCATGCACACCCACATAAAGTTGTGATTTCTTTTGTGAAAAAAAAAAAAATATATATATATATATATATATATGAAGAAAATTGAATATTGGTGATTGGATTGAAGGGGACATGGGACAGCGGAGTTAGATGGGCGTGTGGTGGCGACATTGTGTGGAGTGGTGGAGCGCGTCAACAAGCTCGTCTATGTACGAGCCCTGAGGGCCAGGTTTTTTTCATATAAGAACTAAATTTCAGTTTATTAATTTTGTGATATCGATTTTATTTTTTGTAAATTAAGATTTATTTTGTGTTATAGGTACAAGCCCGAGATTGGTGATATCATAGTGGGCCGAGTTATTGAGGTGAAAAGTAGAATTCTATAAAAAAAAAAAAAAAAAAAAAAAAATACATATGGAAGATCACCAATTTCTAGGTAAATTTTCCACTTTTTTGGGGAAGGTTTTAGAAAACATGGAACACGGACAAAGAGAATAATTTCGAACACAAAACCAATAAGGCTAAAGGAAATAGAATAACCATGTACAAAAAGAGGAAAATGAAGGTTTGAGGATACTAATTCTGCATGAATCAATCTCAATATTCCACAATTTTTTTGGGTTCTTCTGAAGAATTTTGAACAACAGACAGAAGTTCTAGAAAGAAAGAGTTGGAAAAGGCCGAAGAAAGAAGAGAAATGTTGCGTGTGTCAGATGGAAATTTGAAGAATGGAAAATTATCTTTTAAAGTACTCTGCACTGAGATTTATCTTGTTTCTTGTAATTTGAAAGGATATTGAGGGTCCTTATTATATGCCCATTTCATCTCTCTCTCTCTCTCCCTCCCTCCCTCCTGCTTTTGCCATTTGTACCAGTTCTTAATGTTAACCTTAATATAATTTCTTAAGTTGCATTGACGACGTGTATAATAATCTCCATATAGAAATAAAATTTGAGGAACGTGTATTTTTCATTATCCATTTTTTTTTGGGGGGGGGGGGGGGGGGGGGGGGGGGGGG